ACACACACACACACACACACACACACACACACACACACACACACACACACAGAAAACCCCTCAATAATACGCGTTTTTTCATTGCATAGATGCAAAAAACGCACAAAATCTGGTCTGAAACACACCAGACCGGCTGATGCGATCATCTGTTTTTGCACTATTTCGCGGTGTAGCAAGATCGCAAGGAATCACGATAACCAGAATTTATGATACACTGGCCCACCAAGTTGAGGTAATTGTGCAGCTATGTGGCATGTCACTTATAGATGTCGGCCTTAGTGACCTGACAAATGGAAAATTGCTGGGCACGAATACCCACTAGAAGAGTTGAATTTGAAATCTCTTAGTCGCACATTAGTTCGGAACGTTTCCTTACTATTTCAGTTCCTAGCTTTCCTCGTCCCCGAGTTAGCAATTTCCCCGCCAAAACTTTCACGTGCCTGCACGTGAGTCCCGAGCAGTTCTAAGAAGCTAATTTTGAAAACTTTTGGTCGTATGCCGGTAAGGAATATTCCCTCAAAGTTTCAGCTTCCTAGCTTTTTGCATTCCCGAGTTATCAATTTCCCCGTCAAAATTTTCACGTGCCCGTACGTGAGTACCGAGTAATCCTAGGCAGTTGAATTTAAAATCTTTCAGTACTGTATGGGTGGGAAGCATTCTCCCGAAGTTTCAGTTTTCTAGTTTTTCTCTTTCCCGAGTTAGCAGTTTTTCCCGCCAAAATTTCCACATGCCTGTACGTGAAGCCAGGGCAGCTCTAATGAGCTAAGTTTGAAGTCTTTTGGTCGCATATGAGTAGGGAACATTCCCCAAAGTTTCAGCTTTTTAGCTTTTTTCGTTCTCAAGTTCGCAGTTCTCCCGCCAAAATCTTGACATGGTCGCACGCGGGGCCCAGACGTGCATGGTGGTAGATATCGCGGTCCTGGGGTTGCACATGGCAGGGGAACACTCTGGCAAAATTTCAGCTTCAAAGCTTGCGTGGTTGGCGCGTTGAAATACTCGGACAGACGAACACACACAAACAGACAAACAAGGCCGTTGCAATATGCGTTTTGCTGCCTGTTGTAGCGCTGTAGCGATGCACAACAAAAACGGATAAAAACTAGTTGCCGAACATAATAAGCCAGATGGCAGGGCCTTTTCCTCTTTCCTCTCCCCTCCAGGTTTATTGAAAGAAACTATGCAGCGCTACATCTGAAAGACCAGTATATACAGAAAGTAGTCAACAGTGATTATATTAGCTGCTTGATAGCAAAATACACGACAACAATTTCAGAAATGCTTGTTTCGTAATCCATCGTATGAAGCGAGGAAGCATAAATCACAAATCTCAAAATGAACGATTCACAAATTATCAAAAGAAAACAACCTATAACAAGCAATACAGCAAGAACTCATCACTACCTTCACAAGCCGTTTGTTTACATTGCCGGACAGGATCAGTTCATAACCAACAAACATTTGATTAATTCTGATCCCACTAAAGAATTACGAAGTCTGTTGCTAGAGTCTTTTGGACTTTGTTTATGTAGCGTTAGGCTGAATACCATGGAAAGAAAATGCGAGGAGGGTTAATTTCCCCAGCAACATGTTTTGAACAATGAAAACTTTGGGTTCTGTTAGTTACAGGAACGCCACAGATGAATAGAGCATAACGCTACAAACGCGACTCCAAAAGCAAATTTCAGGATCACTTTTTATGCGTTTTTTCCAACATGCAGTGCAAAAACGCATATTGTCGAGGGGTTAACTCTGTGTGTGTGCGTGTTTGTGTGTGTCAGTGTGTTCAACTGTACCGATTCTTCATCGCGATACCTACAAATGCTACAAGGCTGATGCTTCGAAACTTTAATCTACATGTTTGCACTGGCTGTCGCGAAAGCTGGGCTTTCATGATATTTTATTTATGAATGGTTTAGGTCAAAGTTCCTCGATACGCACCATATGTAGTTTTTTTTTTTTTGAAATAACCGATGTTCCGATGATAATTTATGGGATGCGTTTAAATGAAGTTTGCAAGCGTGCAAGGGTATTTTTAGGAGGAGCGAACATATCCCAGAAGTAAGTTTATGAGTCCATCGGCTTGCTGTAAAACCCCCTAATAAATGAGGGTGGGGCCCCGGTAGGGCTTATAAAGCAGGCTTTTGGAGGTAAAGATATTTTTTTCGTTGCTGTTTGATTGGGTTATATGATTGTTTTGATCAATACGCTGTTTGGTTGTATTTCTCGACTTCTCTTTGGAAACAGGGAGGATAAAGTGTGGAGGCAACATTGGTGGACATAGTTGATTAACTGGATCCCGCAAGTGACGAGAAGGATATCTGAACCATCAAAGGATAGCAACTTAATCTTCATTCTCGTCCCTGGCCCCTATCCCCAAAATAAACGCTCCTGTTCACGAACTCTCCGCGTACGGCCCCGTGGAAGTTTTTTGGGGGGTAAGCTGCTAACTTTGGAACCGAAAAAAATAAAAAGCTGAAATTTTAGGGGAACGTCCCCTGTCGACGTAGAATTTAATGCCTTTAACCTCCCTCACCCCCGATGTGCGTGGTTCCCATGTACGGCCTGCGAAAATTTTTGGGGACTAAGTTATTAACTCGGGAACCAGAAAAGCTAAAACGCTAAAATTTTAAGGGATGTTTCCGACATTCGTGGTGGCTAGTCTCAATTCTTTTCGCTAGAAGCATTTGCCAGAAAAATTAGTACCGTCAGCTACAAAAACTTGCGGGGAGCTGTGCAAAAAACGTATCTTTGCACCGGCAGTCGGTGCGCCGGTCAGTTATTTTTTTCTGACAACCGACTTCACCCATATTTACACACATTTTTAGGCTGCTCGCTATGCTAAACATGAAATCTGAGCGATATATATAAGGGATGAATATTCCACCCAGGTCATCCACTATATATATATATGCCTCTGGTGCGTGTATTTTGCAAAATTAATACCCTCACCTTTTTGATAAAGAAAAATTAGCCTTAAATTTGCTAAATTCATCATCGTCCATAATAATATTACAGCACAAATAATTATTATCCTCTGATGGTGTCGGCCTGCCAACGAGATACGAGTGCTTTAACAGATAGGAGATTGCTTTGGAATGCGGACGAAGTTTCAGACGACGAACTGTTGCTCCGCGTATTGACAGCACTTTCTGCAATATAAGACCTTTGAAGTTTTTATTATTCCTGAAACTCAAAACCGCTTTACTAAGCCAGCACGTAGATGTGCTGGTATCTTTTGAGTGGAGTTTGAGACATCAGGCTCGGCAAGTAAACACGCTCGAGAGATAGTAAATTTCGCAGTCACACTGAATTATTGAGCCGCCAAAAGTCGACTGGTTAAAGAAATGATTAGCTTCGGAATATGGGTGTCTTGTTGGTTGTACTATATGCAGCACTAATAAACAACCGCTTCCTCCAACATGAAATGAACAGCGACGTGCATAAGGTAACCAATTCGATCAAACGTTCTGCACAATTCTGCTCGCCAGGACTAGAAAGACGTCAGTAACTATCTGTGTTGACTTTGTCGTATCCATAAGTGTAACAGAGACATTTTCAGGACAAAACACATAGTCCCTAAATTTCAGCTCCCTATCTTGTCTGTTTCAAAAGCTCTCAGAATTTTTTACATTTCCGCTCGTGCGTAAAGGCTAAATTTAAATTCTCAGGGTCGTACATGGAAATGAAATGTCGCCAAATTTCAGTTTTCTCTCTGGTCCGGTTTTCGAGCAGGAAAATTTTTGGTCCGTACTTTTAGGCTCGTGCAGTGGAGATGTAATCGTATGAAGAAGCTGTACTTAAATTTTTGGGGTTGTCGCTGGCAAAAAAAGCACTGTCTTAAAATTTCAACTTCCTATTCTGTCTGGTCGTGGAGTTAGAAAATTTTTCGCCAAAACATTCATATATCCGTATGTGAAATGTAGGGGTGCGTGGAGCCTGAATTTATTTTTGCATGGTCGTACATGAACAGAAAACATCCTCATGAAAATTCAACTTTCTGTCTTGTCTGTTCTTAAGATATAGTTCCCGAGTTAAAAATTCGTACAAGTAGTTTCCATGTCTGCTCTTAAAATATAATTGGTTTATGAACAAGGCCAAAATTTATGCTGCTTTCACAGACAGCGTTAGCTATTGAGCATACCTGTCTAGTATTTAGTACCAAATGCGAAAAATTTTCAAAAAAGATTACATAAAAGACAAGAAAATAGGCAGTTAACAAATCTAAACCTTATCAACAGCAGCTATTAACTCTATCAAACCACGTCCATCTGTACATGAAACGAGATAAGTGCCTGGCTCACTGTCTGGAAGCTCGCTCAACTTGTCGATTTTATTTCCAACTCGAATGATTGATTCCAACAGTTCTTTGCGGATTTTTAGTTTTAATAGCGTTTTCATCACTGTTTCACGCTGCACCAGGTAATCAGGGTTCGAAAGATCCTCTATATGAAGAAGTAAATCCTAAAAAAATATCATGTGAGAGAAAATACGCATTTGTGGCAGGCGGCAGCCTGAGCTCATGTTTTTCTGGGCAATAAGCTGCACAGTGTTTGAATGCTTTGAGTAATAGGCAAAAAATGGAATATTCTACGACCAACCCATATTTCATTTACGCCTTAATTAAAAAAAAAAATTATTGGCGACAAGCACTGGGCGAGCCCGTGTGATCATGCGTTTTTGCAGTATTTCGCTCGGAAACCAAGTAGCTAGGATTTGTGAAATAATGGTCCTCGAATTTCTGGAAGTTAATTGTCAACGTGGCACTTGAACAGAGAACATTCCTTTAAAATTTCAGCATTCCAACTTCTCCTGTTCATGAGTTAGCAATTTTTCTGCCAAAAAAATTCATGGGCTCGTACATAAGAACTACACGTATCTGGGAGCTGAATTTAATATCTTTAATTTTTACGGGGGCTGGGAAGATACCCTAAAAATTTCAGCTCCCAGCTTTCCTATTTCCCAAGTTAGCCATTTTCCCGCCAAAAAATTTCACAGGGCCGTACGTAATAATCATGCATGCCTGGGGATTGAATTTGATGACTTTAAGCTGTGCATGAACTGGGAGCATTCATTGAAAATTTCAGCTTTCTAGCTTTCCTGGCTCTCGAGTTAGCAATTTTCGCGCCAGGAACCTTCACGGGCCCATGCACGGGTACCACGCATACCTGCAGGCTGAATTTGAAATCTTTGAGTTCAATGGAGACGGGGAACACAACCCCTAAATTTCAGCTTTATAGCTATTTTGGTTCCCGAGTTAGCGATTTTCCCGCCAAAACCTTCACCCTCTCGTACGTAGGGCCTAGGCGTGCGTGAGGGTCGGCACCGCGGTCCGGGAGTGGCACTTGGCCGGGGAGTCCACTGGCAAAATTCTGGCGCTGGAGCTTGCTTGGGTGTCGAGTTGAAATACCCGGACAGACGCACACACACATACACATGCATACATACACACAGATATATATACACACCGGAGTCGTCACACTATGCGTTTTTGCATTTGCATTTATGCAAAAACGCATAGAAATGATGACCGCACAACTCGCTGCACTGATCAAGTTTGTTCAGTAGTTAAGACCGCCAAAAAAAAAACCAGGCTGGAATGCACCAGGCTCCCCGGTGCGATCATGCGTTTTTGCACTAAAGTCGCAGATCGCTATTAGCAGGAATGATCCCTACTCTGTAGCCTAGCACCTGGGTCATATTGGCCGCGCTTTGATCCTTTCTGGCATGCAGGAGGAAGGGCGTCAACTGGGATGAAAGTGGTGCATTATAGAGCCGTACGGACATCCAGGTGCATGATTACCTGTTTTTTGCATGAAGTCTAGTCGCTTTTTCGGTTAATGCTCGCCTTATGAAAAAATGACAAATGCAAATTTTTTGAAAAAATGCAAACTCCCAGTTCATTAAAAAGTGGAAGCATTGCTCGAGCGGTTGTTTGTCAAAAAATCCACGTTCATTTACATATATGATTGTGGTTCAAGTCCGAATTGCGAACGAATTTTTTGAAAAAATGCAAATTTCCAGTTCATTGAAAATTGGAAGTATTGCTCGAACGGTCGTTTGTCAAAAAATCCATGTTCATTTACATATACGA